TGTCTCTGGTCAAGAAAACTGGATAATAAAATGGACTTAATTTTCCCAAATATATTAAATAATTTTTGTTTAAAATTATCTGTCCTGCTTGCATTTTAAAGAAGAGAAATTGTGCTTTATTTTAAAATTTTGGTTATCTACCATATATCAGAGATTTGTTCAATTTTCTGTATACCATCTCATTTAATCTTCTCAGCAAGCATGAGTTTTGTAAGTATGTGTACATTTTACACATGAAGAGATACATTTAAAGGCTCAGGAAAATGGTCCAGTGTGCCTCAGCTAGGAAGTGGACTGAGGGGTTATGAACTTGCCTGGTTTTAGAGGCAGGCAGAGATAGGACAAACCTGTCTTTTGCAGCGAGTCTGGAACCCTCTTGTCACCTGTGTGGTTTTCAGTGTATGCTAAGCAGAAGGAAGTTTAATGATTTTCTTTGTGGTTTCTATGGTGACTTACACTGTAACTCTGACATCCTGCCCATATACTGTAGGTAGAAGGTGAAACAGAGACCCCATATCCTGGCTGTTTAGTTACAGAGGCAAGAGGAGAGACTTTACTTAACTCATGTTGAGTCCCTGGGTAATCAGTTGCCTGACCTCTCTCAGTGGCTTGAATGAGATTAATGTGGCCTAGACCCTGTGGTTGGCATGGTGGCAGAGAGGTGTAATGTGTCACGAATGTCTAGGACAGTACCTTCTATATGGTAGGAGCTCAGAGTGTCTGAGTTCCTGTCTCCATCCATTCCCAAGCAAGAAATTCTGATATGACTTAATAAGGGGGTAGGTGGACTCTGTTGGGAGTCCATAAGGTAGCATTTCACATGCTGTTATTTTAGAACAGGCATTGGGTTGACTGACGGCGGTCTTCCAGCTTGAAATTGGCTTTGGCATTTGTGCACTTGCAGATATCTTTTTTGCTGCCATATGACACACAGATTTTGATCTAAGAATAAAGACTGGTGGAGACCCAGGACCAAGCAAGTGACTGTTATTTTCCAGCCCTCTTTGCTGAGCCATCCACCTCTTCCCAAGTGTTCCCTCTTCACCCCTGCAGACTGCTCTTGTCCTTAATCTGCTATCTCCTCTTCCCTGGAATTTCAGGCCAGAAAGCGTCTCCCTTTTCCTACCTGAGAACTAGAGTCTGAAGTGCTGGTTTGAGTCTGACCATTGAACCCTCTTGCTGAATGTCAGTGGACTAGTTGTCTCACCTCTCAGAGAACAGACTGATACCTTGTGTGACCTGGTGAGCTCTGAGAATGCATAGTTGGCCTGGAGGTTATGACCTGGAGATTGTGCTCGAAAACATTTTACACCCTAGAATGTGCAAGAAGGGCCCTCACTCTGTTCCTTCTGAAGAGACTTTGATTGTCTTCTCATACCTTAGATCTCAAATATTTCCTGTTTTACTCTCAGGTTTCTACTCTCCTTCCTGTTAAAAAATTATTAATAGCTTTATCAGATAGAATTTACATATGATACATTTCATCCATTTAATTGTACAGTTCAGTGGAGTAGTATAACCATTACCATGTTATAATGTTTTCTTTATCCCAAAAAGATACCTGGTACTCAGTAGCATTGAGGTCTGATTCCTCCACCCACACATCCCCACCCTTAGCCACTTAACATATTCCTGCTGGCTTGTACCACTGGTGGTACACGCATGACCATCCCATCGGGTGGCTTGTACCACTGGTGGTAAAAACAGATCTGATCACTTCTTCTGGTCTTTTTACTAATAAAATTAAATCAGAGCCACTTGGCAGCAAGGTGCATGAATTACAGCATCACTGTGAATGTGTCAGTCTACTTTCTGGCCATTTGTTTACGTTTGCCTATTCTGGATATTTCATATAAATGGAGTCATAAATATGTGGTCTTGGGTGACTGGCTTATTCTACTTATCATAGTATTTTCAGGGTTCAATCTTATTAGAGCACTGGATCATTATTTTTATCACTAAGTAATATTCTAGTGCTTGGATATACCACATTTTATTATCCATTCACCAAGTGCAGCACATGTAAACTGTTTCTAATTTTTGGATATTATGAACAGTAAGTACAAAATTTTTTAAGAAGATAATATTTTTATTACTTTATACCAATAAACATAAAGGCAAATAAAAACATTCTTAGATAAATGTAACTTACAAAAATGAATGCAAGAAGAATAAAATCTCTGGACTGTCTTAGAAATCTTAGGTAAACCAGAGTAATAATATTAGCAGTAGGAAGTAATAGTATCCCACTTAAGTGTTAAAAAAAAAAAGGCTGGGAGCGACATAAAACTTCATATACAAGTTCTACCAAACTAAGTACAAATTTTTGTGTACATATATTTTCCTTTTCCTTAGGTATATACCTGGGAGTGGAATTGATGGGTTGTATGGTAACTCCATATTTAACTTTTTTTAGGAAGTGCCAGACTGTTGTCTAAGCAGCTGTGCCCACTTTACATTACCAGCAATGTATTAGGGTTCCGATTTCTCCATGCCTTGACCAACACTTGTCATTATCTTTTTGATTATAGCTATCCGAAGGGGTATGAAGTGGTGGTATATTACTATGATCTCATGTATACCAGCATCTTTTCAAGTAATGTTAGCTCTATGATAACTCCTGTGGAGAAATGTCTGTGGGATCTTTGGCTCATCTTTTAAATGGATTGTTGATTTTTTTTTTTTTTATTGAGTTGTAGTAGTTCTTTATATATTCTAGGTTCAGTTCCCACTCCTCAGTTTTTGAATATGTTTAAGACTCACCACTTGAAAGCGTCCCTCATTTGGCCTCTTATTGTTTGTATGTTCATTCTAAAGTTAATTTTGGATTACCTGCTATGTACTAGTTCTTGTGTTGGAAGCTGTGGATAGAATGTGGCCAAGATATGCAGAGCCCCTGCACTCTGCACCTTACACAGGCTGGTGTGGTGAATAGGTGGTGAATCAGTGATTGCACAGATATTTAGTTATGATACTAATGTTCTCTGGGGGAGCATTCTAGGGAGCTGTAAATGTGTAACAGAGACACTTGACTTGGTCTTGGAACTCAAGACCCATTGTCCTGAGGAAGGCACGTATGAGCTGAGTTCTGATGAATGATTTCTAGTTAGCGGGGAGGTAAAGAGAGTTTGACCTTTTTCATAAGAGGACTAGGAAGCAATTATAAGAGTGGATTAGGGAGAACAGAAGTGAGTGCGTGGAGGAGGAGCCATTCAGCAGGCTGTGGCCTAGGTGAGAGCTAACAGTATCTTTGTGTTGGGTGGTGGCAGTGGAGGATGGAAAGAGTTGAAGGAACTGAGAGACAGTTTAGGAGTTGGAATCATTACAGTCTGCTGAGTGGTGAAAGTGATGAGAATATGGGGACATTTAAAAAAGACTCCTAGGTTTCTGGACTGTTGTAAGTGAATGACCGAGTGGTTTACCAAGACAGATACGTGAGGTAGTGTAGACTTGTGGGTGGGGACATGGTACGATGGCATTGAAGAGCTGAATTTTCAGTTGGCTTGGGAGTGCCTATAACCCACTGCACATGAAGGTGTTGAGGATGGATGGACTGTGAAATCCTCTGGGTTAGTGACTTAGGAACCAAGGAAGTAAGAGGGTAGTTCTGGTAGGCTAACATGGGAGACACCTTGTCTTACACCAGGAATGGGTGGGAAATAAGGAAATAAGTGGGAAAATATATTTCCCAGAAGATTATGTTGGAACTGCCAGATATGAAGCATCTGAATTGTCCGAAGACAGTAGGCCAGGGCTGAGAGGATGTCAGGAAGTTGACCCTTGACGATCAGAGGGGACACCTGCCAAGATTTGTGCTCCTTGACAGGAAGTTGAATATAGATGCTATTATAAGAACCAGCAGTCTGAATGGTCAGTTTGAAACCTATTTTATAAGATCAGCATGACTTTTGTAAGATCAACCAAAGGAAATATATTTGAAGTGTGTTCATTGTTGTATGTGTGCATGTATTTTCAGGGTGTTAAGAGGTCCCGCTTGCCGATCCTAGAAAAACCATCCCGGCCATTAGGAAATACGTATCATCTTCCTGCCACCCAGGAGGTGGTAGTTCATCTACAAGAACAGATCCTGGAGTTGCAGGGGGAGCTGAGGGAGTTTAAAACTCGAAATAAGCAACTTCACCAGAAGTTAATTCTGGCCGAGGCATTGACGAATGAGAGGCCAGCACCCGACCAAATGCTGCTGAATGGTAAGCACAGAGAAAAATGCCCTTGCCATGATCTGCATGAACAACAAGATAGTACTACCCGGAACGTCAGCCTTGTTGTTTAGAACTGCAGTAAGTTTGAGTATAGATTTCATGGATTTCAGTGATTAACCTTATCAAATGCACACTGAAGGAACACAAGCTGGAAAGAGTTAATCTGTTGCTTTGTTTCTATCTTGAGGTCTGGATCAGTGGGATTTTTAGTGCTCTCAGGTCTTGAGGGGCTCATGTTGCCTTCCCCTGGGATTGTGGGCAGGTGCCCAATTATGGATAGCTTCAGTATAGGCTTTTGGCCTGGCTATGTCTGTGGATGCCTTGGGCACATGGCATCAGAGATATGCAAGGGAGAGTTCTCTTTGCAGGGTTCTCTGGAATGTTTAGGGCATCTCTGGGCTGAGTGTAAACCTTACTATGTCTTCCTGTAGAAATGGCCTACCTCTCTGTCTGCTTTGAGTCTACTACTTCTGCTCTTTTTGGGGTCACGAAAAGTAGTGGATGCATGGGTTAAAATGTATCTGAAGGGGTAGAATCCAGAGACTGGAAGAAACACCTCAAGTGGTGGCCTCTTTGTCTAGAACAGTGGTGCTTAGATATTTGAAAATATGGAGAATGCTGAGAGTCCCTGGGAGAACAGTGCAGATCACCACATGGTAACATTTTACATTGTTTTCTGAGAGTTCGTGAATCCATAAGAGTATGTAAGTTGACTCCTGATTTTGAAGCCCAGTGTGTGGCTAGTATGGAGTGAGAAAGGGGGACAGATGTAGAAGATGAGGTTAGGGATGGGTACAAAATTATGTAGGTTCCCATAAGCCATTGTTGTCTAAAATTGGAAATTGTTGGAGGCTTTTGAACAGTGGAGTGATGTGGTCTGATTTAAGCCTTGAAGCACAAATGAGCAAACTTCTGTCCTTGGGCCAAATCCAACTTGCTTGCCTGTTTTTGTAAATAAGATTTTATTGGCACACAGCCACATTTATTCATCTGTATATTAACTGAAAGTAGCTGTGCTGTGCTCCCAGGATTGAATAGCTGTGATAGAGACCCATGGCCTGCAAAGCTTAAAATATGTATTATTCGCCTCCTTAAGAAAAGTCGCCTGGCTCCTGCTTTAAAGGATCACTTGTGACGTGAACCATTGGAAGGGTGGAGTTGTCATACCCTGAGATGGGAACAGCTGCAGGGGAGGCAGGCTGTGGGGGTGTTAGATGTCTAGTTTGGGACTTACTGAAGTGCTGGTTGGCCATGCTATGCTAGTGGAGATGGCAGGGAGGCAGTTGGATTGTAATATTAATACAACAAGCACCCGTTATTTATTGATCTCTGTGATAGGTGTTAAGGACATGAAATACTTGGATCTAGTCCTTTGATTGTTCAGTAATTATCTGTTTTCAGTTCAGGGAGCAGTTTCAGAGATAAAGTGACTCGGCTATGGTCACACTGTTACCAACTTCCAGAGGTACTTGTGAACCAGCCTGCCTGGTTTCGAAGCCTGCATTCTTTCCTGCTTTACAAAGCCTAGTGTATGATACTTCTCATGTGGATTTTATGATGATCTGTAGCCAGAGGTAACTTCCATTTAATTTTAGGTTCTCTCTTGGGTTTATCATAGTTGAGGCTTCAAGGTAAGTTAGGTTTTGGCAGAACTGCTCTTCCCCACCTCCTATCCGTCCTTTCTTCCTTCCATCCAGGCATCTACTCAGGCGTTCAGGGCATGATCCCTAAGCAACCACTGTGTCTCCAACCTCGCAGCACAAGGTGTAGGAGCAAGAGAGACGAATGAGTTCCGGTCTCTGTCTTCTGAGAGCCCCTGTCTAGCGGGCTGTGGGCAGCTACAGATGATTACATCAGTGCAGGAGTTCGGTGAGGGCTTTTGTGAGGAAAGATTTTATGGCAGAGGTGACTCAGCCCAAGAGAAGCCCTAGCACTTAGTCCAGCACCTGCCATGTGCACTCAGCAGTGTTTTTGCTTTTTGCTGAAACGCTAGGGCGCCTCAACCAGGTGCTGCTCCTGCCATTGCCCAGAGGACCCCAGGGCCTCTCTCCCATGGGAAAAGTGGGCCCGAGTTGATGGAATTCATTTTCTCACTCATAGTTTTCTGAGAACCTGACTAAAGCCATTTCAGACAAGCTACAGTATATTTATGCTTTTTATGTCCTGTTATGGCAGCTCGATAGATTAATTTTATCTTATAAATTGCATTTTGCCTCCCCAGTGCTTTTATTTTCCCTGTTGTATCTTTGTGTTCTTCTCAGTTGCTTGGCTACGTTTCAAGTCTATGGTTTTATTTTTCTTTCTCTTTGCCAGTGCCTACAGCTCAGCCTCTTGTGGGAGCAGCTTACCAGGACAGCTCAGGAGAGCAGAGAAGAACTGAAGCCACACCCTTTTCCCAGAGAGACAAGGAGGGCAACAGTGACCACCAGCAATCAAGCTACATGACCCGTCAGAACTCAGTCTCTATGAGTATTGAACAGCTACCTGGTACTAGGCACCAGTTGGGATGGTTTAGGTCAAAATTATCACTAGGCCCACAGCAGTTCTCTCAAGGCATCATTGTCTTTCTCTCCTAACACGTGGGGAAGCTGAGGTTTTAAAAACTGATTGACCCAGGGGCCCCCAGTTGGTAAGGAGGTCAGAGTCTAGGCACAGCAGGGTATCATTTGGAGCTTACCAGTCTATTTGGTACCCTCTTCTGTTAGACAGTAGGTAGGTATTTGGTGGTTTGGCACGAAAAGACACAGTACCTGTTCTTAAGGACCTCACCCATTTGGGAGAAAGTTCTTGAACCATGCTATTAGCATCCGGGATGGTGCTGGCTGCTGTAGAAGTGTACACAAGGTTGGTCTCTACCTGCCCAGGAGGAGAGGGTCCGAGGAGAGCCTGTCACTTAGGCCACATGTGTGGCATTTGCCAGTAGGTTAGTGGAGAAGGTGTAGGGATATGAGTGAGGCCTGCAGCAGGTTTTATTCTCTCCATACTTTTTAATTATGAATTATTATAAGCATACAGATACACACAGGATAGCACAGCCGATACACATGTTACCATTCAATCAGAATGAGCAAATGCTTACATTTTCTTTATACCTTAGATCTTTTTTTTGCCCTTCATTTTAAAAAAAGTCACTATTATTCTGGCTCTGATTCACTCTGTAAGAAATAAAGGTCACAGCAATCCTGAATCTGTCATAGGATGGCCATGGGAATGAACACCAGGCTCTAGAGAAAGACTGAGCTCTGAGCCCCATCCTGCACCAGTGTGTACTGTCCCAAGGCCGGAAGTCAGTGCAGTGAATACGCAGTCACATGCTTCCGGGTCTTCTGGGCTTTGAGGGAAATCAGCTGTCCTATGCAGTGAGGTACCCCTTAGTCAGTTGTGAAAAGTTTTAGAACTGTGGCATTTTTTTTATGATCTAAACCGATGGCCCTAGTGACCTCTTTGGACCTCTTAATCATAGTTAGTGATTGACAGAGACTTTCTGATGGTTTCCCTTCCCTACTCAGTGCGCCCTCATCGCTGAACCTCTTGTATTTTTCTGAATGTGCATCCAGATCTTTGCACATGCTGTTGCCTCTGCCTGCACTTCTCCTTTCATGCGGTCTAGGGAAACTTCATTGTATAGATCCCCACCTAAATTCCACTTTCCATAGCAGTCCTTCCGGAGTGCCCAGTATCTGAGAACTCCTGTTAGCCCTTTTCCTTTCTCAGCATCCGATGGTATTGAATTGACTTGACTGGCTTAGTGACTGCCTTCCTTGGGTGGGTACTCTGGATGATGCCTTCACTTCTTCAGGAGCCCATTGGTAGACACTTGGGAAGTGAATGGAGGGATCACATTGCCATCACTGACCTTCACATATAGGGCTCGCTGAGCCCTTGGTGAGAGGGCTGTGTCAGGAGGCAGCATTCAGTGTTGAGGCAGGCAGCCCCATGCTTTGATGAAGTATTCTCCTGTTCTCTTGCCCTGAATCGTGGCCATACTGGCCAGGTCTGAAAGCCTGACCTCCTCTTCTGTAAAATGGGTAATGTTACCAGCGTCTCGCAGGGTTGCTGTAAGTAGAAACACAGGTGAGGTGCTAGATATGCAGGGCAGGTCCTGGCATGTAGTTGCATGTCCTGAGCTGTTGGTTAGGACTGCTGTGTCCCCAGCCTCACACACAGGGTATGAGAGAGAGAGAGATGAATTAATTGCTGTCTCTACCTTCAGAGAACTCCCTGTCTACTTGGGGGTGTAAGCAGCTGCAGACAGCTAAATCAGTGCAGAGGTTGGGAGGACTTACCCTACAACCTGCAGTCCTCCCTTTCCCCCACTCTACGAAGTGGTTCTTAACCAAACAGCGGAAGCAGCACCTTTGCACCCTTATCAAAGCCTCCTGAGCAGTGACCGGCAGCGCCACGTTGCCATGCTGGTGCTAACTGTGGGACTTTCTGTCTCTTGGCCTTGAAGCCTGGAAGCCAAATCCTAATCTCTGCTAAATCACAAATTGCTATAGACGGTGGACTTTTCAGGGGCATTTCTGAAGTCAAAACTATTAGTGGGATGTCTGAATGTTATGTTTCTTGCATTTTTAGGGAAGAAGTTAAAAATGTAGGCCTAAGTGTTCCTGTGAGCGTGCACCCCCGCACGCGCATTATCTGGGATGTGTTCCAGTGGGAGGCTGATCTGACAGCTGACCATAGTCTGTATCACAAATGGACATTTGTACAAGATTTACATATTTGTCTTTACCTCATGATTACTTAAGGAAAGTCATTGGAACTAACCTTTGGTTAAGAAGCAACATTTCTCCTTGTCATGAAATAAAGACCAAATTCCATAACAATAAGGTGGTTATAGCAAAATATTTCCTGCTATTGGAGGGTGAGTCACTAGAGCAAAGCCTTGTTGAGAGAGCTCTCCCTTATTCTTTCTCTCTCACCCTCCTTTGGCTAGAATTACTTACTGATTACCTTCTCTGTAGTTGGCTCTATATTGGTCATCTTTTTTTTTTTTCCTGGAACAAAATACCTGACAGACACAATTTAAAGGACTAAATGTTTATTTTGGCTCCTGGTCTCAGTCCGTGATTGGCTGACTCCAAGGCAAAAGCATTGTGGCAGAAGGTCAAGGCAGAGAAAAGCTGTTCAACCCATGTTGTCCAGGAAGCAGAGAAGAGGGGAGAGCTAGAGGTGAAGGGGCCGGGGACCAGAGGTTGTCCCCATGGTCCTGCCCCCGTGACCCAACCAGACAGGCCCAGAGTGTGCTCTGCGCATCTCCCAGGTGTCTTTCAAGCCAATAAAGTTGACAGTCAAGATTAACCACGACAGGCCCCATGCTGGACACTGAAATAACATGAATTTCACAGTCTCTACTCTCAAGAACCTCACAGAGAAGTGATCCTAAAAAATTGTACGCAGTCAGAATGTGGTGTTAGGAATGCTTCCTTCCTAGGTCATGTGGCAGCCACTGTCCAAAACAAAAAGGTTTATTGTATGATATTTAACTCGTGAGCAGAGACAAGAGTGGGCCTAAAGTCATAAGGAACAGATTGCACAACCCAACATCAGAACATATAGTTTCACAGGATGTTTGTGTGATTTTCTTTTGCGAGATCTCCTAAGTTATCTGGTGTAATCTACATTGCTGCTTCTGCAGCATTCACTTGATGCTTCCAGAGATAGGTATCTCCTTCCAGCGCTGAATGGTTCCACGGAAAACAAGAACATATTTACATTAGTTAGGTTCCTTCACTGCTATGTTTCAGATGCTGTATAATCCTTCTTTTGTTTGTGCAGATATTGTTTCATAAAATCCTATAAAACAAAACAAATACAACTCTTCACAGTGAAAGATATTCTTTTTTTTTTTTGGTACCGGGAATCAAACTCAGGACCTGGTGCTTGGCAGGCAGGTGCTGTGCTGCTGAGCTATCTCGCCGGCCCAGTGAAAGATGGTCTTGCCATTTTGCAGATAAAGTTGCTGAGACTCAGAGAGGTTAACTACTTTGCCTAAATAACTAAGGTCACACAACTAGTAAGTGGCAAATTCAGTGTTTGAAACCCAAGTCGGTTGGATTTCAAAACTGATTTTTCCCACTGTATTCTGCTGCCTCTTTAAGTATTTGAACAACTCCTTATATGGGGTCACAGTTTCTCCGAAATCAGGCAGTGTGGTATAGAGTTTAAGGGTAGAAGCTGTGTAGTCAAGCTTCAGTTTGAAGTCTTACTATAACTGTATTAGGCATCTCTTCTATTATTTTCCATGCAGGCTCTGAGACAGTAAGTTACTTACCTAAGGCTGTGTAGCCAGGAAGTAGCAAATCTAGTTGTGAGCTACTGTCTTTGTTTTCTCTCTGACCCACCAATTCACCTTTCAGATAAGTTGGGCTGCATCTCTGGAGATTTAAGCTTGGTGTCAGGAAATGTTTCTTGACAGGCTTGTGAGTTAGTGAAAACCCTTACAAGGGAGCCATCATGTCATCTCCTGGATACCAGTAGATTTGGAAATGAGAAGAATACTCTCCTGTTTTGGACGCTGAGAATTATTGCTCTTTAATGTTGCTTCACAACACCCTCAGTATTTCTCAGACTGTCAGCTCACTTCTGATCTGTGCTGGGTACTGTACTAGACACTGAGGATGTGAGGGTGAAAGGCCACATCCCTGCTATAAAACAGTGTGCAGTCCAGAGAGGCAGAGAGGCATCCAGTAACTAATTGCTATATCAATAAATAAACATAAGCCAACTGTAATTCTTTTTTTGGGGGGAGGCAAGGTCTCCCTATGCAGTTCAGGCGGGCCTTGAGCTCACTTTGTAGGCTGTTCTCGAACTTGCAGTGATCCTCCTGCCCCAGCCTCCCGAGTGCTGGGATTACAGGCGTGTGCCACCATGCCCAGCCAACCAGCTGTAATTCTGTGTTGGCCCCTTGACCATAACATGTTTGTTGGAGTAACATATACAGTATGTGTAGAGAGCTATGTAAGCACAAAGAGGAATGACTTTTGCATAGTTTGGAGGTGGGCTTGCAGACAAAAATAAGATCTAGGAGGACAAGTAGGAGTTCTTAGAGTAGGAGTAGAATAGAGAGCTAAGGGTTTTCCAGACAGAGGGCCCAGCACATCCAAAAGTATGGAGCACAAAGCAGCGTGGTATGTGCAGGGAGCCATGATTAATGTGTGGGAAATCTGCATAGGTAGTGCAGGGAATGTTTCTTGAAAGATTGCTAGAACCAAGTCATGGAAGATGTCAGGTAGGGAGTGGGCATACCGATGAGTTTTAGGTCTGTTGATAGTTTGTCATGGTTAACTCACTCTTTTGAACATTTGCTCTGAGAACGGATAGACTGAGAGGTAAGAGGGCATGCTAGCTAGGTTTCTATTGCTGTGACAAAATATGCAAGAAAATCAACTTAAAAGGCAGAAAAGTTTATTTCGGCTCATAGTTTCAGAGAATTCAGTCCATAGTTGCCTAGCTCTGTTGCCTTGCAAGGTAGAACATCCTGGAGAAGAGTGTGTAGTGGAGCACAGCTGCTCACTTCCTGGTGGCTTAGGGGAAGACAGAGGGGGAGCAGGGCCAGGGTCATAACTTTCCATTCGTGGACACAATCTCTCCTTCATGGATGCACCCCGATAACAGACTCTTTCCATTAGGCCCCACCTCCTAAAGATTCTGCTACTTCTGGCAGTACCACAGGCTGGCCTATTGAGGACGTTTAAGATTTAAACCATAACAGGAAGCAGTAGAGGCAGGGAGGCTTATAGGTGGTTGTTGGCAGTAGTGTTAGCTCAGTTATTGCTGTAGTGTAGGAGTGCAGGATGGGTAGCAGTAAACGAGATACTGACATAAACATATTTGATTTTCAGATTCTAAGGTTTACCCAGCTGATAACCTTTCCACATTACCGGCATGCATAGAGAATCCTGAAGATTTACGGGACTCAATCTCAGTATCTACTCACTTGAGTTCTAAGAGTCAGCTTTCTGTTAAAGACAATGCGATTTGGACTGATGAATCTGAGAATATTGACACCTCAAGTAATGCACAGTACTTAAAACAGAAAATCCATGACTTGGAAACTGAGCTAGAGGTCTACCAGAAATTTATATTTCAGCTTCACAAGCATTCCCAGTGCAGTGAGGCCATTATTACAGTTATGTGTGGGACAGAAGGGGCCCAAGATGGTTCGAACAACCTCAAAGGCAACACAGAAGAAGAAGAAAAGACCTTTTCAAGTTTGCACCAAGTACGATACGTAAAGCATATGAAAATCCTCTGTCCGTTGTCCTCAGAAATGACTGATGGAAGGGTGCTGGAAAGCCTCAAAGAGCAGCTGGTGGAACAGGAGTACGAGCTAAACAAGGAGCAGAATTTGAACATGGAACTCTTCAGTGATATCCATAACCTGCCAAATAAGTTCAGAGATCTCTCATTCTCAAGGTACACCTCACTTTTGCCTTCTCACCGTGTAAGGGGGAGCGTCTGGTGTCCTGCCCACCAATGCTGCCGCTAAGCAGGGCTTGTGAATTACGAGGGGTTGCTGCTCTGTGATGGAGTGGAGCATCACAGTATCACAGCCTTGGGGAAGGCTTTGTGGTGGGGGTCGGGGAGCCAGGCCTGTGGAGAAATGAAACATGAAGCCACAAAGCACAGTGCCCACATATGTGCATGTCAGTGATGAGATGAGGGCCCTCTGAAATTGGCAAGGCAGATTTTGCCTCCTCGGGCTGGGGCCTGGGGTAAAGGTTTCACACCAGTCACTTGGTGAATTACAGCACATCTGCTTTACTACAGTGTTTATTCTTGGACTCCCGTTATTGGCTTTTGCTGCGCTATGGAATGAAAACTGATGTCCTAGGCAGAGTGGGAGGAATATAAATATTTTTCATATCTTTACCCTTTCAGGTCATCTTAGAGAAATAAAGCTGTTTTGAAAGAGAAGCATTCTTAGGTCATGAAGATAATACCATATGGGTATAAATATATACAGTTTTGCTTCATGAGATACGGCAAAAATGGGGTCATTTGTAAAGTTGACCTTCATTCGTCACTAATTTGAGACAAGCACATTATTCTGAGTTGTCAGGAGCCAGCGTCAATTTTTCAAGACTTCCCAAGCAGGGAGAGTGAAGAAAGCTTGTATTCATTGGTGGGTTATTGTGTCAGGCCCCTGGTCAACAGAACTTTTCTTATTTAATCTCCCGTTTCCTGAGCATGAGGTGTTCTGCTGTTGCTTCTGCTGTAGATGAGGAGCCTCACATAGGTTGCTGTGACTTGCCTGCGAGCATTCCTGGGGCTGGCAGCGCTGCTCCGGGCTTCATGCCCCTGTTGTCCCACTCTAGCACCCATGCGTCTCTTCCAGTAAACCAGACCCTCCTCTGGCACTGGCGTCACTGGCTCAGTATGTGCATTCTTAGTGTCACAGGCTCACCAGGCCCACATACTGTTGTCATTTCAGGCAAGGGGAACAGGGCAACTGAAGTGTCAGTCAAGTCTCTCTGGAGCCAGGTTACTATGGCCACAGTTGATAGGAGCCCCTTGTCCTCAACCTCTGTTTTTCTCAGTGCTAACACTCCTGGGCCCAAATAGAAAAAGGCAGCCCCTGGTGGTAAAGCAGCAGTATTGCATACTCAAACCTTGCAGTGCTGTGTTTGAATCCCAGATCTTCACCACTACATAACTTGGTGATCACTTTTGTTTCCTATAAAAGGAGGCATTAAAACGCTTTTTAGAAGACTGAGAGAAAAAGATAACTTCAGTGACCGACGGGTGCTGTGTAATCTGCAAGTGGTGTTTAGGAGTATGACTATTCCCTGACCTTTCAGCTGGGAGGAGAAAGTCCTATCTTATACTTGCTTTCTTTTTTGAACTTTGTGAGAGTTTTTGGTGGACCCCTGGATCCTGGGGACACTTGTTTTTAAAGTTCAGAATAAAACTAGTTGTTCTCTTGCGTCCTTGGCAATTTACAGTTTAATTGGGGGCTTTCTAACGTTGAAACTATTGCAGAAGAGTCTTTATTCTAGCTTGTTGGCTGTTTAATCTCAAAGAAGGAGTGGCCTTGTACAGTTTCAATTTTTCTGAAACTATGTATGCTTGTACACTGCAGGTAAAAAATTTTGCTGTCATTTTCTTAAAATTAGAATTAAGGTCATAACAATTCAAATCTAAAATGACACAAGCATTTTCTTCCTCCCTTTTGTCAGTTATGATTCATTAGTGCAGTCCCAAGCCAGGGAGCTCTCCCTGCAGCGGCAGCAGATTAAGGTCGGCCACGGCATCTGTGTCGTTTACCGTCAACACATGGACACCATGATTGCGGCGTTTGCAGAGCTGCTGCAGGCCAGTGATGTGGACGACTGCGTGGCCACAGGTTTCCAGGAGCAGCTGAGTCAGTGTGCGGAGCTGCTGGAGAGACTGGAGAAGCTGTTCCTCAGTGGTAAGTGGGGCAGGCTGGTGGGTTCTGAGATAATCAGTAATTGACCCGGGACTTCCTGGGTGGGCCTGAGAGGAAGTGATGCATTGCCTCGCTTACCCTCTCCCCTCTGCCTTGACAAGGCAACAGCAGAAGGCCCCGGCTCCTGCTTCCCATACTGGCTACTTCCATGTGGCTTCTGGTCTGCACTGTGCCAAGCCACAGGTCCAGGTCAGATGCCAGAGGGGCCGGACTAGTGAGGTGCATGGTGCTTCCCTCAGCACGGATCAAGGGGTTGCCCATTCTTGCGAATTACCCAGAAAAGGGGTGTGTGTGTGTGTGTGTGTGTGTGTGTGTGTGTGTGTGTGTGTGTGTGTGTGTGTTCTCATCGGTTTTAAATATTAGCAAAAATAAAACAAAACAGTTAAAAATGTATTCAAGGGTCAGGGGTGACTGAGAAAGGACGAAAGAAAATCTTAAAATCTTTGCCATATGCTAGATATTTTTCTTTTTCTTTTCTTTTTATTCCTGCTCATCTTTCTCTCTTTGCTCTCATTTGGAACAGTGTCTTGCTATGTTGTCCAGACTGTCTCAGAGTCCTGGACTCAAGCAGTCCGCTGGCCTCAGCCTCCTGAGTAGCTGAACTGTAGGTGCATGCCACCACACTTGGCTTGTGCTGTTGTTTTAATAATGTTACTACATAATTTTTAAATGAGTTTTTTCTTTTTTTTTATTTTAAAGAATAAAAGAAGGATAACATAATAATAGGGGGGACTTAGCAAATTACAGACAAAATGGTAGGAAATTATCAATGGTTATCGTTTTACATATTATTATCTACAAAATAGTTTCTCAGGAAAACAAATAGACAAATAATAGTGAGTTAGAGACAAAAGAGGTGGGAGATTATCAAGAGTTGTACTATACTTTGGTATCTTCAAAGTGGCTTCTAAAGAAAATAAATAGAGCTATACATGAGTGACCTATTGAAAAATCATTAACTCTTCTCGATGGTTGTTGTAGGAAACACATAATAATAAATATACATCCATTTATGAAATAGGATAGGAACATTACAAACTTTACACAGTTATGGATAGATTAGTAGGAAAATATCAATGGCTGCTGTAATACGTGGTGGTATCTTCAAAGTGGTTTCTCAGGAAGACAGAGATATGCAAGAAGGATCTAATAAGTAGTTACAGCCTAAGGGTTGTCAAAAATAGCATATTACCTCCTCACCAGTGACTCCTTTCACTGAGGTATGATGGCTGGAAGGAAGGCCAGGATTGAAAAGAAGGACTGAGAGACTCGCACCTGTGTCTAGCAACAGGCTGTTTTCTTGTTCCTCCATAGTCATGATTACCCAGGACTCCTCGATGGAGATGACGGTCTGGCAGACCGTGCCCCAAGCCCTCTCATTACTGTTGGGCTAACTGGTAGCATGGGTCTGAGCTCTGGGCCCTCCACCTCAGAGGGCAGACCGATCTCCAGTGGTCTCCTTTGCATCCAGGGCATGGCCCATGGGGCCTCTTAGGGCAGTTGCTCTTGAGGTAGCCTGGCTTTTAACAGTGGTAGCAGATGAATGCAGTTGTCGAGTTCTTCTTGGGGCCCCGGGAATCAGACCTGGGATCTGTTTCTCTTAGTGGTGCAGCAAAAGCAGCTGCTTTTTCTCGGTCTCTTTGTTTTCCTTGACCTCCTCCTCATCATGGCTATAGAATACTGAGGAGGCAATTCTTATTAACATCTCAAGTGAGCTTTCTGGGGTGAAAGCCATTCTTTGTAGCTTTTTCTCTCCAGCTTCCCATTGCTTTGGAACCCCACAACCAGTTAGTGTCCTCTCCCCAACTGTCAGCACAGGCAGCAGGAATCCTGCTGCAGACTTCTCCAGAGCTTCACCACAGCCTGTACTGTCAGGGGAAGAATGGCTTCCAATGAGTCTCTGCAGGTATTGTGCAAGGTCCTCCTGGTTTACAGCTTGCGAGCGGCTCTCGTGACCCCAGTCCACTGGACCTCTGACTCCGCGGGCTTAGTCTGCATTCTCATGTTCTCTGAGTCCTTGTTCAGCAGCTGCTCCTCCGCTGGCTCTGGACCTTTCCGGTTCCCAATGGCAAGGGCAAGAGTGGCCCGTTGTATGGCATATATTCCCAGGGGTTGTTCAAAGTTTCAATGATTCACACACATCCGTGGGTGGCAACTGCAGTCGGTGCATGGTGGGCCAATTGTGTCACTGTTTCTCTGTGTCATGATAGATCCCAATTGAGCGGCGGCGGCCGGCCTAAGGGCCGGCGTGCAATAGCGCTCGCCACCGCGTGGCTCCCCATGCGCTGGGGGCCCACCCTCCGGGAGCCAGCAGGCAGGAAGCTAGCCAGCCAGAAGGCTGGCGCTCCCCACCCGCAGCTCCCTGTGCGCCGGAAGCCCTCCTTCCGGGGAACCACGAGGCCGGGAGTCTTAAATGAGTTTTTTCAAGACTGTAACAAAGAATTCCCATGTACCCTTCATCTAGCTTCATCAGTTTTTAACATTTTGCCCTATTTGTTTTATTTTCTTTCTCCACAAACATACTATGTTTCTGAATCTGTGAGGGTGCACTGACCATGTCATATTCCTTTCCCCCACTCTACTCCAGGTTGTTCTTCAGGCTAAAGACATTCTTTAATATGTAATGACTGAAGTCAGAAGTATAACCTGATATACTGCTATTTAATACATAGTATGTATTCAGATTTTTGTAAGTGATTAAATGGTGTTTATGACAGTTTTATTCCAGTCCCTAATTCAGAATCTTGCCCCCATGTTACGTTTTTTCCCCTGGTGCTAGGATTGAACCCAGTGCCTTGCACATGCTAAACAAATCTTCTGCCATTGAGCTAGATCCACCGCAAGCCTTCCCCTGCCTCCCTATCTTTAATTGTCATCTCTCTTTGGACTCTTTTGACCTGAGGCCCTTCCTCACCTTTTATCTTTTATGACTTTCATGTACTTGAAGAGTTCAGGCCAGCCGCGCAGTTTTGGATTATCTGTTGTTTACTCATGATGAGATTCCTGACAAGGTGAGATTAGTTACACACTTTTGCCAAGAAGACTACACGAGCAATGTTTTGTTCTCATGATATCACATGAAGGAGGCATACAACACCAGTTTTCTCGTTTTTGGTGATATTAACTTTGATGGGTTTTGGTGATATCTGTCAGGTTTCTCCACTATAAGTTATAACATTTCCCTGGGAAACAAATGAATAATTGATGGAAACATTTTATAACTCTATAAATAGTCCATTCCTCTTTGAACTTTTACTCAGGCATTTGAGCATCCCTTGATGATTCTTGCTGGAGTCAAGGGTTTCTATGGTGGTGGCTACAAGGTGATTCTTTCTGTAACATTGTGTCCTTCTTTATTATTAGGTGACTGCTGCTAGAAGGATGCCTTCTGCATTAAACTCCTTTTATTTGTATATTTGCTGTTTATTAGTGTAGGCTTGTAGGTTATTTTATTGAGTGGGTTGTTTTTCCATTCTGTCATTCATACTGATATACACATTGGCCCCGGTTTGATGAGTTGCAGTTCTTTTTGATACATTTCTGTTTTATTTCCAGGAGCGTTTTCTTACTTTCCAGAACAAAGGAGATGTTCCAGGCTCTTCTTGTACTGTCCCATTTCTCTCAATCAGTCATTTCTCCATGCAGCCTTGGTTCCATTTAGTGGGAAATGCTTTTTAAAAACTAAGACTTGGTGCTGGTTGAGTTCATTGCTACAGGGGTTGCTACAATGAAACATTGTTTCTAGGCCCTGTAGCAGGCAGAACTGGTACGTGTGTGTGTGTGTGTGTGTGTGTGTGTAAATGTATAATTTACTTTAAAGAATCATTACAATTGTTACCACCTAATAATTCTAAACCAGACTCACCAAGTTCCTCTTGTCTTCTCTACCTCCATATTTATAAATTCTTTCTGTTGCTCTAGCAGTAAGAATCTGGCTCTAACAGCATCAGTCTACTACTGATTTGCTCATCTCCATGGTATGTTTGAATGACTCTAGAACTGCTCCAGCCGTGCCGCTATGAAAGACCTACCAGAAGAGTTCCAAGATTTGCTTGCAGTTCTTTTTGTTTTTAGGCTAGTGGTGTAGTTAGGTAGGGACTTTAAAAGATACTTAGTTTCATTCTTTCCATATGTTGTTACATTATTTATTTGAAATACAAGCTTCATGTGTCTCTACCTGTATTCAATTTTAATTTTTATTTTTATTTTAACCCTGTGTCCTTGTTGATTTAATTTAGTTTAATTTTATTGTTTGAATATGAAAAATATTAATCATTAATGTAGTTACAAAGTCAGTACATTAGTCCTTTTAAATTGCTTCCATGATTTTTTTTTGCGCTGGAAATCAAACCTGGGGCCTCTCACATGCTGATCACACACCGCTGAGCTGCACGTTCAAGCCCTGGATACCTTACCTTTGTCCGTTTCCTTTATGTCCGTCAGTGTTACTTTTCGGTCCCCTTTTGCTGTCTTAAAGCCATGGGGGTTGGGCTGTTAGTTGTCCTAGCCTCGCCACTGAAGTACTTTGCTAAGTCACTGACAGCCTCGACTTTGCAAAATTCAACAAGTAGCATTTAGTCTTCATCTCAGGCTGCAGCAGTGTTTGCCGAGGTTGATTCCCTGTCCTTGGGGGAATGCTTTGCTCACATGGCTTCTGTGAGGACCCCGCTTAGAGTTCAGTCTCCTACTTCACCAGCTGCTGCTTCGAAGCTCAGCCTTCATTCAGCATGTGTTCCAGATCGGCTCAGAAATCAGGCCTTTCCTTTGTGTTCATGTGAAAGCGCAGATAAGGGCCTGGAGCCTGGGCCGTCACAGTGACGTTGCAGACTTCATCTCTCACGAGCCCTCCTGCTCCTCCAGTCCCCACTGCAGGCTGCACTGACCTTGCAGTTTTCCCACTGTGCCCTTTCTTCAGGCCTTTGCACTCCCTTCTCTCTAGTGCCCCTCATTCCTTTTCTCTTTGTCACCTTGTCAGGCAGTTC